TATTTGGTACAGTTTAAATGCTTACATTCTGCATGTTATTGGGTACAGCTCACATACTTACATTCTGCATGTTATTGGGTACAGCTTACATGCTCACATTCTGCGCGTTATTGGGTACAGCTTACAACCTTACATTCTGCACGTTATTGGGTGCAGCTTAAATGCTTTCATTAAGCATGTTATTTGGTTCAGCTTACATGCTTTTACATGCTTACATTCTGCATGTTATTGGGTACAGCTTACATGCTTACATTCTGCATGTTATTGGGTACAGCTTACATTCTGCACGTTATTGGGTACAGATTACAACCTTACATTCTGCATGTTTTTGGGTACAGCTTACATGTTTACATTCTGCATGTTATTGGGTACAGCTTACATGCTTACATTCTGCACGTTATTGGGTACAGCTTACATGCTTACATTCGGCACGTTATTTGGTACAGCTTACATGCTTACTTTCTGCATGTTTATAGGTACATAGTCATTAAACATTATGTTGTAACAAGTATGTGCTAAAACAGGGATTTATTGTTATTGCTAGTACTATATGAAATAGTATCTACATTAAGGTTTACATGTGCTTTGCCCATATGGGTTATGGTGTACTCAGTAAAATAGTATGAAAATGACTGATCATTGGAGAATATAACGTATGGGTATGCTGTAAAATGTTTTGATATTTGCATTTTTGAAACAATATAATAAAAGAATTTTAAAACAAAATTGTTTTGTGGTACTTTGTTGAAAATTGTAAAGATGTTAGGCTTGTGATTAATTTGTTTAAAAAAAAAAAAAAAAGAGAGACTGGGAGGTATTTTTTGAGAACGAATTTATTATGATTACTTTGACACATAGACTTTAAAGCAAACACCTATAATTAGTCGTCTCCTACGACATGCTTTTTTAAAGGGGGAGGGAGGGGGGCAGTGGGTCTTTTCTGTTTTCTTTAAAATGGGGTCCCAGCACTCACAATTAGAGGGGTGGAAGTGAGAAAATGTCTGAGTGGGGGAAAAGGAGTAGGGGAGGGTGGGTTTAAACAGCTGAATGTGTGTGTGTGTGTGTGTATGTGAGTGAACTTTGACTTTTTGTTTCTTCTTGTTTTCCATACTCCTGGAATGCGTCCGAGCGCGAGTGTGTGTGTATGTGTGTGTTTAACACTCCCTATATCGACATCAGGAAGACGTAGAAGATTAGAGTCTATTCATCGACACTGCTTATTGCAGAGCAGGAAGGGTAACAGAACTGGTAATAATTATAGTGCTGGTGGTAGTGGTAGCGTTGATGATGATGATATTGGTGTTAGTAGTAGCAGCAGTAGCAGCAATATTAGTGCTGGTAGTGTTGGTGTAGTAGTATTAGTAGAAGGAGAAGAGAAGAAGCAGACAGGAAGAAGAAGAGATGAAGGAAAGAAGGCGAAAGAGGAGTAGAAGGAGAAGAGAAGAAGCAGACAGGAAGAAGAAGAGATGAAGGAAAGAAGGCGAAAGAGTAGTAGAAGAAAAAAGAAAAAAGAGGAAGAGAAGCATTATAAACATTAGCAGCAGACGATATTATGGAATAATTCCCGCTCATGCTAAATAATCTCTCTCTCTCTCTCTCTCTCTCTCTCTCTCTCTCTCTCTCTCTCTCTCTCTCTCTCTCTCTCTCTCTCTCTCTCTCTCTCTCTCACATATATGTGTGTGTGTGTATAATGGTGAGCACTATTTCCTAAAAGAAAGTTACACATGTAACCTTATCCAGACCCTTTGTTCATCTTTTTGTTCGAAATTTTCGGTAAGACTAGGGGGCTGCGGGGTCTCGAGGCAAGTGTCCGACTCGAGTGCTAGAGGTTCCGGCTTCAATCACCGGTAAAGGCTAGGACTTTTTTTCACGTGGACTTGGACTTCTAGTTATTCCCCCTGATCTCTGGGTAGTGAGATCGGACGCCTTGGTGCATTGTTGGGCACGTAAAGAAATCCCTTGGCAGTTGGAAATCGAAAAGAGTGGCCTAACGGCGCTGCCCGGGCAAAATTTGGAGTTAAAAATCTACCAAAAATATTCCACAATCCTCGCCGGTGCACTGTGCTGAGCTTCTTCGGCCTCACACTTGAGTTACAAGAAGAACGGAGCACCTACGGGTTACACCATGTTGATCCGTTGTTCAAAACTTCAAAACCTCAAAACTTTTATTGCAAATGTTCCGTTAGACTGACACCCAGTGACTTAAGGAGCCACTATCTAAAACCTGTTTGTAGTTGTTTAAAATTACGTACACTGAACATTGTTTTCCCATAAGAAAAGTATATAGATGAGCTAAGTTGGAATTGGGCTGGGAAAAAAGGGGGTGGGGTAGAGGGTAAAATGTTTATATGGAACTAGTAACGAACTCAGGCCCAGCTCTGTCCACCTAAACACTAGCTAACCTGTCAATGCTTTGTTGGTGGGGTGGTGGAAAAGTTCATTCTACACAATAATGGGGTGGGCGGTGACTGGGCATCTGCTCTCCCCATTTTCGACTGTGACGGACTTAATTAAGGCCCCCTCCTTTTTTCCCCGTCTAAACTTTGTAAGCGGTGGGGTGGCTGGGGGGTGGGGGGGGGGGTGTCTGCGCTACTCTTTGCGTTATCGCGAATGATATACAACATACTGAATGCAATCCTTTTATTTAAATTTTAAACTCTAAAAGATACTAAGTAATCACAGCTATATTCCTGTCACACTAAATTGGAAGAAATTCAGAGCACTGTAGTTTTGACAATTGACACATTCTGGATATCAAGTCTGAATGCATTTCTTCCCAAGAGATGTGTTAGCTTGGTTTCGTCCCTTAGCACGAAGTAGTGCTTCAATTCTATCAATAAAATCGGATTTGACGCTACACAAGAGCCAGTCGAAGCTGGAGGATAGAGGCATAGATAATAGTAGTAGTACATTTTACCCAACCAGGACATCACACAAGCGATAAACACCTGATGACAAAAAGTGCCACCATGCGGATGAGGATCACCCGTGGAGAGGACCCGGAAACCGCGTTCAGCCATTAGGCCATATTTATGGGCGGGCTATATTGCGGCCCCTGGTAAGAGCCAGAGTGGGGCTTCTAAGTAACAAAAAAAAATTACATCTCACAAGAAGATGGCTAGGTTAGGCATAAATAACACTGTTATCATGTTTTAAATACATCCGTTGACAAGCCGCAATTGTTTCTCCACGTACGTTCGAAAGTGAAGCTTACGTTTGCTTGATGTAAGATTTACGATTATTTCCCTATACAGTTTTGTTGAAACTACTGAACTAAAAATTATTAAAAAAAAAAAAAACACCCAGATAACGAGTAATTCGCATAACGAGCAAAACAAATTGTAGAAAAATGACTTGCTCAACGAGTAACGTTTCGCATAACGAGTGCCGAGGAGATAAGAAGTCCCGAACTGTGCGCATCTTACTTCAGTGTGTGTTTAGGACTCGTTCCAGTAGCATCGTAGTGTCGCTTGTGATCAAACATTTTCTCAAACTTGTGTTATATTGTGATATGTACATGAATCCCCCAGGCCTACAAAATGACCTCTCTGAAGAATTTAAGTTCATCAAGATCCAGTTTCTGGCTCCCAACACCACTCTGTTACTCCAGCCCATGGACCAGCAAGTTATTTCTAACTTTAAGAAGCTCTACACTAAAGCACTCTTCGAGCATTGTTTTGAGGTGACTGAAGGGACCAAACTCACTCTCAAAGAGTTTGGGAAAAATCACTTTCACATCGTTGACTGCCACAAGATGATCGACAAGGCGGGGAAAGGGGTTACCAAGAGAATCCTAACTTCTGCTTGGAAGAAGCTTTGGATGGAGAGCGTTGTCGATTTGTGACTTTGAAGGGTTCGAGACAGTACCAATGGAACCTGTAATCAACGAGACTGTGTCTTTGGACACTTTCATGGGATTGTAGGTGGATAACGGTGATATCGAAGAGCTTGTGGAAGAGCACAGCCAAGAGCTAACCACCCAAGAACTTTTGGAGTTACATTGTGTTTCACAGCAAGAAGTTTTTGAGGAAAGTTTGTCAGAGGAGGATGAGGAGGAGGTAACAGAAAAGCAAAATCTTCTGGCAAAATAAGAGAAATGCTGAAAGCAACGCAAACTGTTGCATCTTACATTGAGAAGCATCACCCTATGCGAGTTGCAAATTTATTTAATGATAATGCTGTGTCGCATTTTCGCAAAATTTTCTAGTAAAAAAATTTAGATATGTATCATAATTATTTAGACTTTTTTTCCTGCAAATCGAATTCGTATTCCAGGTGGGTTCGTTCCGCGTTTGTAGAAAAGATGAAGAAGATTCACTCTTCTCAACAATATGTATATAATTCTCTTTGAATAAACGTTATACATAGCATTCTGTGAGTATTTTTTTTCGACATGGAACGCATTATCGTATTTTACATTACTTATATGAGAAAAATTGTTTCGCATAACGAGTGTTTCGCTTAACGAGTATGATTTTGAAACGAATTATGCTCGTTAAGCGAGGTTCCACTGTACTGGGTTCAGTTTTGTGTTACCCTATAAAGGATTTGTTATTAAATTTCACGAACAACCTTGTTTGGTGGTGGAGTAAAGAAGATTGTAGCTTGCTAGCCTGAGGCATCAGTGGTAATTTGTTAAAATCCTCTTTGTGGCTAGAATATTTTTCACTGTTATGTTAAATCCTATTTTATATATCATGGGGTTGTTCATTATGTGTGCTAATTATTTGTAATACAGGAGTCCTCCCACTTCCATGTCATGTAAGATTGCACACGCCTATTGATAATTTATGATACATGTGTTCTCTCACTTCCATGTCATGATTCTAAACTGTATAAAGTCATTTCTTTGTTGTCTCTCCTGCCCCAAATATATATATATATATACACACACACCCACATGTACATATCTTTGTGTGTGCGTGTATATCTGTTAAATACTAATTATTTAATCAAATGCATTCAGTTCATATTACTTATTTCTTCACGCAGAAGCCAAAATGCCCATAAAAAGTGACAAGGAAGATCTCTCCGACCCTGATCAATTTATTGATAATTATGAAGACGAAGATGAAGACGATGATGAAGTTCTGACATCAGAAGGGGAAGATCTACCCGACTCAACCACCGGGCACGACCAAAAAGGTGATTCACGAGATGATGACAGTTGCGATGAAAGCCAGCATGAGAAGAACACACAGCAGGAGACAGGAGGCGAAGCAGCAAACAGTAAGCTAAAAACAAGAGGGTTAAAGAAAAAGGCTGGTGGTAAAACAAGACAGGTGAAAGTGAAAGTGAGAAGGGTTAAAGCTAACGCCAGGGAGCGAAATCGCATGCATGGGTTGAATTCGGCTCTTGATGAACTGAGAAAATATGTCCCATGTCAGTCTAAGACACAGAAACTGTCCAAGATTGAAACACTTCGTCTGGCCAGAAACTACATACATGCCCTAGCGGAGATCCTCAAGTCTGGTGTCCGTCCAGACAGCTTTAGCTTTGCCAAAGCGCTGTCACGAGGGCTGTCACAGAACACTATGAACACGGTGGCAGCATGTCTCCAGTTAAATCCACGGACACTGCTGCCAGATTCAGCCTATCCCAAGCCATACCAGTTTATGTATGACAATTATTTAGAATTCAGCGGCAGGTATTCAGTTGATCCCTACTCAGTGTTTGCCTTTCAAGAACTTGGCAGCAACTTTACCGAGCTGCCTTTCACTGGCCCTGACCAATTTGGAAACCATAAGCCACTGATGCCTTTCATGTCGCTAGAAAATGCTTGCCTTCCTAGTTCGTGCCTACCATATCAACACCTCGTTTCACAAGATCAAAATGACAGTGTTTCTGCTGGTGAAACTAACGTAAACAACAGTTTGTGCGTCCATAATTCTTTCTTTTCACCACAATATTTACCATCTGGAATTCGGGAAGACAAAGTTCACAGAAGCACAACTTTACAGGCACATACGAAAATGCAGGAGGTATATAATGTTGGAAGTTCAAACAATCTAATGAAACCAAGTGAGCCCCGGTTTCAAGGATGCAACAAGGAAACCCAGGTGTCGACATATCTGGAGTCTGTCAACATCGATAGCTTGCACAGTTTTCCCATGCTACAAAGTGGTGGCATCTATGCATCAACATCTGCGGTGCAGCAGTGTTATAAAGACAGGCGTTTTGAGGCTAATTACGACGCCACTGTTTCTAGCACCGTTGGAGGCCATTCGAACAATCGAGTTAGCAATTCGTGTCATCCGGGCCCAGTGTCTGCTCTATCAGTTGAAGACTGCTGCCAATCAACTTCTGCAATACTACTGCCTGATGACCTTATTGAGTTAAGTCCCGAGTCATCCCTGGGAAATGATTACGCAGTAATAGCGTGTGCTGGTAGCATCTTTTAATCTCAGCCAGTTTTCACACATTTACTGCAGAACCATGACTAAACTGAGTTAATAAGTCTTAACTCAATAATGACAACAAAGCACTGTCATTAAAGACGAAGGCATTAAATAACGTTGGCATCCGTGGATTAGGCGTTGCGAACGCGCTTCTTAATGTCGAGGTGCAGGATTCGAATCCAGCTGCAGGCGATTTGGCAGCAGATAGTCTTGCGTTGGCTTCGACAGCGGTATGGAGAGCCGATCATTGAGATGCAATGGCAAATTACTGAATGTAAAATTGCCTACTAAAATTATAAACAGCAAGAGAAATTCTGGGTTTTGTTCTGCAACGTCCTCTAAATGACAGGCAACTAACTTTTAAATACGTAGGATGGCCTTGAATACTTGTCTGCCAGCTGGTGGTCCTCAATTTGGATCGAGCAGGAAGATGGGTTTTTATAATCTACATGGGCTCGAAGGTCGACCCAGCCAAATAACGGTGCTAGGAGAGCAGGTTGTATGCAAAATTGGGGCTAACACAGTATAGCATATGTACTTCAAGACGTGCATGAGTCATTTTACCTTAGTTACTTTACAAATAAAGACAAAGCGAGGGCCTCGTTAACGCAGTCGATAGGAGAGGCTCCCTTTCAAATCCAGCTGCGACTCGCTGCAGCCACCGTCAGTGTTCGAAACCGGGTAGTTCCCGGGGCTCACCCATCCTCTAGGAAATGGGTACCCGAGTTGACACTCTGGGGTGAATGGAGGAACGTCGCTGTAGCTACAGAGTTACGTGCGGACGGCGACATAGGTGGACAGTTTCTTATCAGCTGTCCGTACTGGTGGCAGAGCACTTATGGTTTATAACCGTGTGCAATGACGCTGGTTCACATCTCCCGACTTTTACCTTTCCTTTTCGACAAAGCGAAAAAATAAATAACACAATATATATAACAGCGATTACTGCCGGTATATACCGCGTTGCACTGTAGATAGAGGCAGGAGGGGGTGGGGAGGGGGGGGGGGCTTTTTGAACCTGACGATTTAGGGCCACATGGCTAGTACTGTCGCCACGGACTGTTCGAGTTAGGGTTTTAATTTTGCCCCGACTGAAAAACAACCTCACAACCTTACCGAGGATTCGAAACGGGTCTCCTTAATCATAGCATGCCGTTCTTAACCATTTGGCCATTGCTCAGCAACATATAACCTATTATGAAATATGAGTATAAAAGGGAAAACAGAAAACGTTTAGTTTCTAATGAAATTTTTAGAGCAAATCAACAAAAATAGCCCCACGTAGGACAAAAATGGCATATAAAGACAGACGACGATACATATGGAGAAGCTATGAAGCTAGATAAAATAGCATAATATAACATAACCCTTGAACTGTTAGGGTCATGGAGATGTATTGATGGAAGCAAGAGCACACAAAACAAGCCATCTTTCTCTGTCTTCCGCTTGATCAATAATTGAATGATAACTTAGTCCTGTCCGTATCTTGATGTTGTCATTCCAGTGACTCGTTTGTTCTCCTTTTTCTTCAATAACCCCCTCCCCACCTCCTTCTGCCCCTTTTCCCAATGTTTCCTGAAGTACAGTCTTTGTAATCAAATCATGTCTCCCCACATGGCCGACCGAACTAACATGCGACGTTTCACCACTGCCACTAGATCAAATACAAAATAATTGTAAAAGAGCACTCATTTTATAAGACGCTCATGATTTGATATGATTTGATTCAAAAACCGACATCACAGCACTCGGGGCATTCCCATAAGCGCTTTGTCCCCATCTTCAACAGTCAGCGAAGAGTCCCGATACTAATGGTGCCAGTAGCATTCTGATTAAACGTCTGTCTTGCTATTAGAAGATCAAGAAAGCAGCAAGGATTCGAGAGACACGACCATCAAAGTCTGCTCTAGACCAGGTGACCAGGTACTCCTAGAGGAAGCATGTCCCAAATAAAGAACTGGGTACATGGACTCGTCAACACAATTTAGTTACGATGTTAACTTTAGATATAATCAGCCATCGTCATGTTGTACTGTTGAACGTCACACAGGGCTTACAGTCTAGTCTTCTATTCCGGTCTATCGCGTACAATCCTTTTGACATCGTGGATTAAATCCAGTCCAGAACGTAGAGTATAGTGCTATATTTTGTAGACCAATAGGTACTAATGGTCAATATTACCAAAACTGCTTTTGCTTCCGTGAATTTTACCCGGTGTCCATTTAAATTAGGGCTGGGAGCCAAGGTTTTTTCGAAAAAAAAAAAAAAAAAACTCAGTTCGAATTTGACCCCACGACCTTCGGATCCGCAGATGAACGCCTAGCCGCTACTCTTGGCAACTTTTAGGAGTTTTTATTATACAAGTATAAATTTGTATGACCTTTTTTGGTTTTGTTCTTGTTCTAGAATGTGAGTTTAGTGTGCACATCCATTTAACAGATCTGTTTCTCCCTTGCTACTCAGGCAGATGAACTCCAACGGCGAAGGAAACATCCATAATTAGTCAAATTTGATGACATGCTTGCTAGGGGGCAGTGGACCAGTCTTCCTCACCCTCACAGTGGGGTCCTGGAACCCATACGGGGAGTTTCTTCTTCTTTTGTCGTCTCACTGATACCTGGTTGTAGCCCAGGAACGGGTTTTCTGTAATACTCTTCTGCTTCTCGGGGGATTTATTGGTTTTTACTGTTTTGCAGGTTTTTGCCTCACCATTTATCCATCACTTTGCGCTAGCTCAGTTAGTTAAACCAGACTCAGCGGTGACTGGATGCTCAACTCCTTGTGGTCCTGGTTCACTCCCGGGGGTAGGCAGAATAGCCCCATTTCTCTTAGACCCACAGTATCTATCATGGAATCAAGGCTGAAGGGTTGCGATATCCATTGTACCGAGCCAAAGGGTTAACAACTCATGGTTTCTGGATATTACCAAAAACAAACACAAATGCACTTTCTTGGTCTTCCTCTCGCCTTCCTCACAGATATTCTACTGTAAAAATTATAATTTGCAGTTTGGCATGGCTGCAGTCTCACTAGATGGCTGAAGCACTTCATTCTTTGTCTGTCACTATAAACCAGACATGGTCTTACTCCATCTGTCTCTCTAATGCTGGTATTTGTAACCCTGTCTCTTCCTGTGCAGTTGGTGACCTTGCGACGGGGAAATATTGCCAGTTGAAATCGCCGATGTTAGTTTAACAACGCACACACACACGTGTCGGAGTCTGACGTTCAAGAGCTGAGAACGCGATTCGTATTTCATAGGTGTCATTTCGATACCAGATCTGGCAGCAGTGGTGTCTAGAGCCGGCCTTGTAGTAGCAATGGCAAACTACGAAAAGTAGAATTGTCTCACGAAATCACAAACATCCCAACAATGCTGCGGTTTGTTCTGCAACGTCCTTTAAAGTTTAAGCAAGTAATTTTTGCTTGTGCTGTGGTTAGTAGGCTGTCACACCGAGATGGATTCAAAGTCTAGTACAGGAGACCGACATAGCGTGACAGCCTGGTACAGGACACCGATATAGCGTGACAGTCTGGTACAGGAGACCGATATAGCGTGACAGTCTGACACAGGAGACCGATATAGCGTGACAGTCTGGTACAGGAGACCGATATAGCGTGACAGTCTGGTACAGGAGTCGTCTTGAAACTTTCTACTCAACTTGAACACTTGCTGGACTGACAGGCATGCATTACTATACTGAATCTTTATTGGCCGATGAATTTCTATGTGTTTCACAGCTTCATTGATCAAAAGAACGCTGCTCCTCTGTGGAGCATGTTAGAAAGTGGGGCCGTCATCTTTTAACTCTCATTATGGCGTAGCCGTTTTCGCCCCTCGTACCCTGGAGTACAGAGCTGTATTAATCATCATTATCGACATCCTATTACGCCATTATAAGCCAGACATGATTCTCAGATGATTCTTCCATTCCATTCTATCTTGTGCATTTGTTTCAATATCACGGATGGAATTTGGTCTAGAACCTCTAAAAATGTCGTCAATATTCATTTTGAGGTTTAATTCGACGTTCTAGTTCCTCAGTCCATTTGTTCCTCATTTTAGTGCCTTTGTGGTGATTCTCTTCTCGTCTTCTCAAGTTGTGCCCAAAATATCACCATTTTCATTTTTTACTAACTGCTGACACCAGAGGTTGTGCAGACATTTCTCTTTTTTCCTCGCCTTTCTTGAATAAATCCCCAAAATGTGCTTCAGTTTCTTAAGGAATTTGTTTGGCAATGCATGCAACTTTCGTTCTGTGTCTCTGATGGCTCTTCGAACTCAATTGGCAAGTGCTACAATTTCTGTACAGAATCTATGCGAATAGTTCCGTTGGTAGCAAAGCTTTAGAAAAAGTCTAATTCATCAAACATTTTTGTAATTTCACTCCTTGTGGGTTAATTAATTACTTAACACATTAGTTATATGCTTAACATTTACACTTTTGTGTGGTATTCTGATATTATTTATAGTGCAATATGATTAACTTGTTCATGTGCAAATGTTTAAATTTAGCCATAGGAATATTATATCTATGATTATTACTGCAATAAAAATAATCTTTTATTTTCTTCTTCTTCTTCTTCTTCTTCTTCTTCTTCTTCTTCTTCTTCTTCTTCTTCTTCTTCTTCTTCTTCTTCTTCTTCTTCTTCTTCTTCTTCTTCTTCTTCTTCTTCTTCTTCTTCTTCTTCTTCTTCTTCTTCTTCTTCTTCTTCTTCTTCTTCTTCTTTATCATCTACTTCTTCTTTTGCTGCTACTACTACTACTACACTGCTACTTCTACTGCTGCTATTACTATTACTGTTACACTGCTACTACTGCCACCGCTGCTGCTACTATTAATATTACTACTACTGCTGCTGTTGTAACTACTACTAATACTACATCTACTATTACTGCTGCCTCTAATACCACCAACACTACAACTACTACCACTGTTGTTGTTACTATGCTACTACTACTGCTATCTTTCCAAACGTATCGTGTTGCCTGCTTGTTTATA